AACAGCTGTGCTGTACTGGCCGCGACCTCCTGCGCCGCAACAAGTAAATGTTCAAGTTTCCCTTGACCGGAGACCACACCGTCTGCACTTTGTCTGCAATCAGACATGTCAAACTTAAAAAAAAATCCATAATGAAGTACCGAATCTTGCAGCTTTTCATGACCAAAAGAAAAAATATTACAACCAAACTTAACTCGTTCCGCAGACCAGACTGAATACATGTGAGTGGTATCTCCGGAAAAAAACATTCAAAGAAACATCGACAAGATGTACGCCAACTACATCGTTGATAAACTTGAAAAACAAGCAACCCAAAGTCGAAAGAGCTGCTGTGACTTCGACAATACAGGGACTCTACATAGAAAGGCCGTATCTCTAGTACTTTGAGCCTCGGAATTTAGTATCTACACTTAATTCCCCAACCCCTGCCACACTGCTAAAGACTGTCCAAGTTTGGGACCTTTTAATTTCAAATTCCTGCACAAACAGGAATTCTGCCGAAAAGGAAAAAGTGGGAATTTTTAATTTACATTAAAAGCAAAGAAGTGCACACACATACACACACTCACTCACACACACACACATACACACACTCACTCACTCACACACACACACACACACACCCACACACACATCCACACACACACACACACACACACACATGTATACACACAACTGATTCTCCGCATACAATCACAAAATTTACTAACACTAGTACTGTGGCAGCAACTCCAATCGCTTTCGCCGCCGAAAGAAGACCTTCAGTCCACTGATGATTACGTTTATAGAATTCATTTGGATTAACAGTGCCGTGGCCAGCAGCAACGATCTCTTCTTGCATCGCTCGACTTCGCGCAACCAATTGTACAATTGCGGCCATCAGCTGGTTACACGAGTCCAAAATTTTCTCATTCACTTCCAAACTAAACCACTCAAAAATTAATGAAAATAAAAGCAAGAAAATAAATAAACACATTCGCTATCACAAACTTCCCGTTATTTTAAATTTTATTCCCAAATCCAGTTAGTGACTGACATCATAAAATATTATAAACTTTAACTTTTTTTTAAATATGCCACAAGCGTTACAATGACGGGACATGCGCAACTGCACAAGCCAAGACGCTTTAGTTCGGCCGAATTTATTTTACCGCATCAAAGTTAAAAGTGGAAATTCCCTTCGTACTAGGAAGAGGCGAAAGCATTCAGATTAGCCTGAGCGATTGCACACGATGGCAAGCTACTCACTGTTCTTTTTCCCGATAATAACGTACAAAGAGCTGACTGCGCCTTCGATCCCCTAGCATGTGCCGTACTAATTTACCAAAGAAACACTGACGAATTGTAAAGAGACCGGCTGCCTACCCTTCCCCAGATCGGAGCCCTCGATTTTTCTACTTTCCACCGCACCACGCCCGTCAGTTTTTTCTTATTAAACTATTTGCAAAATCTTGTTATTTTGAATTTTTTTTGATATTTTGAATATTACAGAGACAGCAGTTTAGAACCTAGCGCAATCATTTCAACAAATCATTTGTCTCTTCCTCTTCGCTCCCCCTTCTTTCCCTCTTCAATTTTTCCAGTGAAATTTATGAGGAATAACCGTATGCCAGAGTCTGTTGCCCGGCTTTTCTTCTGCATTTCTTCGATCATTGCCACGGCTCTCTGGATGGCTGCATCCATACGTTTCATTTCTTGCTCCAGTTCAGCACCAATTGCTTCAGCTGTTATATCGCTTGAGCCAACAGGCAAATTCAAGCACATTCTCTCTAGTTCTTCCAAAGACCGCTGCAAATATCCAGTTCTCAGAACAGGCAGTGCAATTCGTTCAAGTTTTGCATGTCCCTATCTTCGCTTTTTATGAAATTAAACATCTCAACGTTCAAACTGAATGAAGCCTACAGAGAATCGCCAAAGAGACGTATCTCTTCAACCCAGCTCCAGCATAAACAGCCGAGTACAACTGTCCCTCTCCAACATTTCTGAGTAACTTTCGCGCCAAAACTTTATAAAAATGACAGTTTCTGCTGGCCTGAGCAAGTGTCTTGCTCCGAATGAGCTAAAGCAAAAGCTTTGCTTGGATTAAAAAAAAATATTTAGCAACGTGCACTAGACTAGCCGGCGCGACCATAAGTTTTGTGCGCTTCGTTCACCGGACGATTGCCATTTAACGATTTTCACTGCTTTGTACTTCATTCTGTGCAAAAATAGTTGAAATGTTGAAAAACAGTTAACAATTTCAAGCATCGACACATGAAATCTCACGCACCAGCACTACCCCAAAACCGCACCTTCTTGGCTTTTATGGTTCCTGAAAAAATTTCCCCGCCAAAATTTACACGCGGCCGTAGCTGATACCCGACAGTGCGAGAACGCTACATTTGAATCTGCAAAGTTGTAAGTGAGCAGGAGATCACTGCCCTAAAATTCCAGCCCCTAGATCCCGTCGTCCCCGAGGTAATAATTTACCCGCCAAAACTTTCATCGATACCCGAGAGTGCGGGAGTACTGAATTTGAATTTTCAAGGCCGTGCGTGGACAAGGGGTCATTACCCTAAAATTTCGGCTTCGTAGATTTTGTGATTCCCGAGATAATAGTTTACCAGCCAAAATTTTCGCAAAATTTCAGCATCCTCGCTTTTGTGGTTCCCGAGATAACAATTTTCCCTGCCAAAACTTTCCTGGGGCCATACATGAAATCTGAGTATACGGGGGAAAGGGCTGAATGAAAATTCCCTGGATCGAAGGTGCGTAGGGGACATTACCTTAAAATTTCAGCTTCGCAGCCTCCGCGGCTCTCAGGGCAATAATTTCCCCCACCAAAGCAATATGTGGTAATTGCGGGTAAAGTGAAGGCCTTGGTAACCCAGGGTTAAATGGAAGCTGAATTCACACCGGAGAGGTCATACCCAGCCGGGGAAAATTCTATTAAAGAATCTTCAGCTTCCTAGATTTCGTTGTTCCCGAGATAATAATTTTTCCCGCCAAAGCTTTTGCGTGGTCATACATGGCACCCGCAGGCAACTGAAAACCGAATTTAATCACGGGGTCAAACGTGGGCGGGGGACATTTTAGCAAAATCTCAGCGTCCCAGCTTTCGTGTTTCCCGAAATAACAGTTTTCCCCACCAAAACTTTTGCTGGGTCATACGTGGTATTCGCGGGTGACTCCCAACTCTCGTAGTTCCCGAGATAATTACCCCATCTTTCGCGGATTATGCGTGGTAGCAGGGGCATGTGAAGATGAGTTTAAGTTTCCGGGGATGCATGTGGGCGGGGGACATACTACTAAAATTTCAGCTTCTCAGGCTTCTCTGGTTTCCCGAGCTGAAATCCCCGGATAAAATGCACTCGGAACATACAACACAGAAACATACGCATACGAATACATACACAGAGTTTCGACAATATGCGTTTTGCGCAACTGCTACAGCAAAAAACACATAAATATAAATGCAGAATCTGTTGCCATGTGCAACGTGGTATACAGAGATAAGTAAAAATTACTATGTGCGTACACATGACGCATACCCGGCCTAAGATACTATACCTTTAATTTGACGAAGAGATCCTTAGACGATTTTAAGTCGAATTTTCCAATTTTTGAATAAGCCAAGACAGCGTCACTGACCACTACGCAGCACTGCTCATGTGCTGCTGAAAAAAAGCTCATAATATACATGCGGCAGCAAACGGGGAAGTTTAGGAGTTCCTTGAGGCATTTGTTTTCACAAAAAATGCGAAAAATAAACGCATATAATTGAATTCAGCAA